AAGATAATATAGAAAGTAAAGATAAAATAAAATAGAAATATTCTAGAAATGGTAAAGATGCAATAGATACAATAGATACCGAAGGTGCAGTAACAGATCTGTAATACAAGACTATTCTAGAATAAATAATATTTCAAGGGTCAATGCTAGTGAAAATCGGTCCTGAGGTAGTGAAGATCTTGGATGAAAATCAAGTGTAACAGCGTTTTGCTTGATTAGAGCTGTCTTGTTAGTATCAATTACATGTTCGACTACATCGGTACAGCCCAACTTTTATATGGATTGCGCAAACACGACTCGCCCTTGCTTCAACACTGCCTTCACTTGTCCCACTTGTTTTTCTTCAAGTTCGTCATTTATCTTCAGCATTTCAATCCTTTCTTCTATTTTTCTTTCTTGCATAACCTCCATTGGTGTTGGGAGCTCCTCGATTGGTACTGCAGAGTTATCTTCTGGTAGAAAGATATCATGGTTAATTATTGATTTGCCTGTTTGTTTATCGTCACTTGTTTTTGTCAGTGCTTTATCTTCGGTTCTCTTTAGGCTGATTCTTGCATTGTTGTTTTTTTCGTTATTATCTTCTTTGCTTACTTCTGTTTCTGTTAGTGATGCTGGTTCTCCAATCTGAGTGAAATATATGACGAGTCCTGCTTCCTTGGACTGCCTTTTATCATTGGAATCTGAATCGCTTCGTGATTCCTCCATATAGTATCCTTTCTTTTCTTTTATCTTCTTTTTCTCATATATAATTTCGTCTATCACCTCGTCGGCTCATTTCTTGTCGAACAGCTCATTATTGTTGGTTTTATTCACAGGTACCTTTCTTGCTTTGTCATTTGTGATGGGGACCTTGATCTTTCTTCTCTCATATTTTACCACCAGTTTTTGCTCATTAATGTAGATTCTAGCCCTTACCTTTTCAAACCAATCATTTCCTAAGATCAGTATTTCGTTCTTGGAGTCGACTACCTGTACTGGCGTTGGAATTAACATTTCTTGTATTGATATCTTAAGGTTGCTAATGTTTCCTAACACTCTAGTCCTCAAACCAGTAATGAATACTATCATTATTGTCGACTTTTTATTGATTTTCAGCTTTAGTCGATCCATCAGTTTCTTCGAGATAAGACTCATAGCAGCTTCTGTGTCGACGATGGCATTCACTCTTGTATCTTTGATTTTTACCTGACATCTCGTCGCCATTGTCTCCTTTTCTTTTTCTTCCTCCTTTTTTTTCTTCATTTTCTTTTCTTTTGTCCTTATATAGTTTGTCTCTACTTCAATTAAAGGTCCCTGCATTGCCTTTGTTAGTGTATTTCTAGGTTCCTGGAACTGTAGCATTCACCCAATTGTGACAGTTGCGGACGCTGATAAAATATCTTTCAGGATGTTGTACGAATGTGTTCTTTCTATTCCCGACAGTCCTCTCTTTCGTCTTGGCTTCCTTTTAGCTGGTGTTACCTTCTTTATTTCTTTGTCTATATTGATTAATGGCTGATCATCGTCGTATTCATAGGTTTGTGAATTACATCTTGGTCTGTTTCTCGATCATCCATCCCATTGTGAACCTGATTCTAATGCTTTCTTCCTTTTCTCTCTTATATCTTAATTTTCACCAGCATAGACTTCCCCCTCAGTTCTCCTATTATTTTCAACGTCGAGGAACTGTACTTTATTGACTTGGTTGGACTCGTTTGCCAGTCGGTTTTTCTTGGGGCAATATCTAGAGATGTGATTCTTTTCCCCACACGTGAAGCAACTTCACTCACTTGTATTTACAGGTTTCAGTCAATTCGCGATGTATCCTTCTGATGCTGGTTTATTATAATTTTCTTTTATTTCCCATACTTGTTTAAGCAATTCTTGGATATCATTTTTCATTTTTCTTGTCTTTTTGTTTCTTCGCTACTGTGATGTATTTCAAAGCTTCTCTCGTCTTCGAACTGTTTAGTCTCATAGATTGCTTTGCCCAGTGTGGTCGTGTTCCTAACAGCAAATACTGATGTCATTCTTTCCTTTAGTCCGTTCGCAAACATGTTCATCACGCAGATTCTCGAGTAATTGCCGTTGGAGTCAATTCTCTTCAGCAGCCTTTGGAATCTATAGGCATATGCCATCATCTTCTTGTAATCTTTTTGTTTCAAACCGAACAGTTTCATTTGCCACTGACGTTGCTATTCCGTTAATACGAAGCAATGCAGGAAATTTGGTACGAAACTCTTTTGCTGTTCCTGCTTATTGTTCCAATATTCTAGTTAGTCTTGGTAGTTTTCATACCAGTTCACCACCATTCCTTCTAGGTAGCTGACTACCATTTTCAACTTCTTTTCATTTGTCCAATTGTTAAATCTTACTGCCTTTTCGTACAGTTTTAGTCATTCGTATGGGTCTTCGAATTCTTCACTTCTGAATTCCCGCACTTTGATCCAGTGGACTTCTCTTTTTTCACTTGGCTTCATTCTTGGTTCCTGATGTTCTGAGTTTAAGCTGCCTGTTGGATTTGTTACATCATGTATGGTACTGGTGCTTTGCCTTCTTCTTGCTTGCGGTGTACCTAGATCGATCAGGTTTTTCTTCAAATTGTTTTCAAATCCGAAACTCATTTTTTATACTCGATTAGTAATTCTTATGATCACCAACGTGTCATAAGGCCTTGCACGGATTTTTGAAGATATCATTTTTGGCTTACTTTTGTTTTTCTTTTTATTAAGTTTTTTACTTACTATAGTTTCTTTTTCTATGATCAGTGTAACCTTTGTCGCACAATTTTATCAGGGTAATGAAAGTTTTTTCCAATTGGATATACTTTGATTCTTCACCAAATATTATCGATACATGGCAAGTCTGTTGTTAATCCAGACTAGTTTGTCATGTAACGATAGGTGTGTAAGGGCTTGTAACCAGAGGCACTTGTTAATAAACTTCCTTCTTTTTAGTCACCAGTCTAATCCTATACCACAAGCCGTTGTGGTCCCTCAAGATTCTATAAGCAGCAAACAACTAATTAAGGCAAGTTTATTAATTATAGTGGTGCAATTACAAGTTTTACTAGTTTATACAATATTGATGGTTATTTCCTATTTCAACTAGCTAAATCCTCTCTATTTATATCTGCCACGACGCATACGCTGATCTACTGTTACGTTCTACAAATTCCCACTTAAACTATTTAGACTTCTTGATGCTGAGTACGATGGATCACGCACTGTCACATGACAAACGTCGATCCCAGCGACCATACATTTTTTCCTGCTAACAATGTACTTTGGGTTGTAATTCTTTGTTCTATTTGTCATTGTCAAAGGGTTTTGTGTTCCATTTTTTGATTTATTATTGGAAATGGTTTCTGACTGTTTTCTTTATTTTTCCAGATTCTGTTATTATTTATTCCTCTAGTGTATAAGTGATGATTTTGTTAAGGTTTATACATTTTTTGGGGTTGTCTAATAGGTTTCAAATCATTTGTTTTTTATTGGTGCAGAAGTAGTTGTTTTTTCATTCAATTCTTTTTTTGATACATTTTTCTTGTTTGTTTCTGCAAAGTTTTTTTTTATTCTTGTAAGACATCGTTGTTTTGTAGGTCTTGAATGGAATTAATTGTGAAATTTTGTATGTTCTTTACTTTTTTGATAATGTTATTGATTTTTAGAGTAAAGATTTCTTTTGTGATTTCTTGTTTCTCTAACCAGTTTGTTAAGTTTCTTAGTTTGGTGATTTTTCAAATAATGTATGATAATAGCTTGGGTGGTTTTGGTTATCTCCTTTTTTTTTAAAATTTTTTTATGTATTTGATTGCTACTTTCAGTAAGTTGTTCCTGATAAGGTGCTATTTTTTTTCTATGGTGAGGGTGTTTTCAGAGGTATTGGGCCATTATTGTTTGAGATTTGTGAGTATCTCTTTGTCAAATTTTTTCCAGTTTTCTGCTATTATATCTTCCTATCTATATCTGTTGTTTATTTGTTTTTTAAGGTGGTTTTCTTTGGTTGTGTTTGTATTCCAGAGTTGTATGGTGGCATGGATAGGATTGTGATTAGTTTTATAGGTTGTTTTGTCTATTTCCTCAATTTGTGCTGTGGTAACTATACATGTTTCCTTATTACCATAAAAAGAAATTTGATCAACAATATGATTCTGAATTAAATACGATTCCCAATTATTTACTAATTGTTATTTAGTAATACGAACATAATACGGTTTTGAAAAATGTCTGAATTAAATACGAACACATGTATAGTGGTAACCATCTAGAGGAGTAAGAGTGTAATCCAGATTTGATCTATTCTACTTTGAATGTTGTTCTGATTCTTCTATGTGTTGTATGTTGTGTGGATTAATTTCCTTGAATGTGTCGATATATTGGTTTGTTAATAGCTATTATGTAATTATTCCTATTAATAAGAATTGTTTGTGTTTGGAGAAGTTAGCGTTGGACATGTCACAGCTTGTATTTGTTATCATGTTGAAATCTTCAAGTATTATTATATGCATTTGTAATGCTTTTGGTTATGTTAGAATCTTTGATAACTTCTTGATACACTCATGATATTTTTGATATGATGAAGCTGATATATAGGTTGCTATTATTTGTACTTTTCTTTGAAATTTGAAGAGAAGATCAGTCTATATAATTCTGTTTTCCAGGTTCTGGTTTTGAAAATATGTCTTGCTAAACCTTTTTGGATTAGGAGTATTACTCAAAATCTTTGCTTTGGTGGCTAGTTTCACTCTAGCAGGTTTGATAATTGAGGAAGTAGATAAAGATTTCTACTTTTTTTGAGATATTTGTTTCTGTAAAAACTATTATATTGCTTTTGGATTTGATAATCCAATCTGTCTATAGTGCCATTTTGCTTTCATTTGATTTGAGACCTCTAATGTTAACTGTGGAGATTTGCCATGTGCTGACTATGTCTGTGACTGTATTATTAATTCATATTGGATTTGAATAGGTCAACTCGGTTGGTTTTTCTTTTGATAGTTTTGTGATTGTGTTATTTGTTGATAATGGTTTTGTTATGTTTATGGTTGCTTTGGTTTTTATAGTCTGTAATGTGGTTGCCTCTTTATTGCTATGATTGAATTCTAAATCTGATCATGTTATAATTGTTTCAAGTTGCTGTATTGTTAAAAAGAAAATATTGGTGTTGTCAATTTGTTGGTTGTTCATCAAGTTTGTATTTGATTTTTTATTGTTATTGTTGTTGTTGCTATAAGAGTTCCTCATGTTTATTGTTTGACAGTATTGGTTTTTGTTAAGATCTAAGTTAGAGCATCCATTGTTATAAAGATTTGATTCATTTTGTCTTGCATTCTGTCTATGAAGGAGAAAAGTTGTGTTTAGGTGTTTCTAAGGTCTTCAAAGCTGTCTTCTGATGTAAATTGTATATTGTTGAGTTGTGATGTGGATAATGAATCTTGTAAGGCCAGTATTTGTTTACTGTTCATAGTTTTGTAAAATTTTTTATTGTAATATTCAAGGTTGGTAATGTGTTTATCCAGTTCTGCTACCTGGTGTTTAATAATATTTAGTTATTATTGGATTTCTCTAAGAATATTGATTATGTTTTTGAGAGTGGTTGTGCTCTCTTGTTCTGTTCTGATTATTTGTAAGACTGCTTCTGTGTATATTGCTGCTCTTGAAGATATTGGGAATCTGGATTTGTTAATGTTACAAATTGTTAATGTTTTTTCCAATCTGTATTTG